GTTAAGCCATTGGGTCCTAGGCTTTTCTTTGATGGGAGACTTTTTATTACAGATTCAATCTTGTTACTTGTTATTGGTCTGTTCAGGCTTTTTATTTCTTCTTGAGTCAATCTTGGTAGATTGTATGCATCCAGGAATTTATCCACTTCAACTAGGTTTTCTAATTTGTTGGCATATAGTTGTTTGTAATAGTCTCTAATGAATCTTTGTATTTCTGTGGTATCAGCTGTAATACCTTTTTCATTTTTTATTTTATTTATTTGGATCTTTTTTTTTCTCTTGGTTTGTTTAGCTAATGGTTTGTCCATTTGATTTATGTTTTTAAAAAACAAATTTTCATTTTGTTAATATATTGTATTTTTTGGCCCTAATTTCTCTGCTCTGATCTTTAGTATTTCTTTGCTTCTACTAGTTTTGGGGTTGGTTTATGCTTGCTTTTCTAGTTTCTTCAGATGCATTGTTAGGTTTTTTATTTGAATTTTTTCTACTTTTTTGATGTTGGCATTTATTGCTATAAACTTCCCTCTTAACACTGCTTTTGCTGTATCCTGTAGGTTTTGACACATTGTGTTTTTAAAACTTTCTTCTTAATTTCTTCATTGTCTATGTTGTTTAATTGTCATGTATTTGTACAGTTTCAAATGTTCCTGTTGTGATTGATTTTTAGTTTTATTTCATTGCAGTCAGAAAAGATACTTGATATGATTTCAGTTGTTTTACATTTGTTGAGATTTGCTTTGTGGCCAAACATGTGGTCTATCCTGGAGAATGTTCCATGTGTTGATGAAAAGAATATGCATTCTGCCGCTGTTGGATGAAATGTTCTGTAAATGTCTGTTAGGTCCATTTGGACTGAAGTGCTGTTAAAATCCAGTATTGCTTTATTGGTTTTCTGTCTAGATGGTTTGTCGAATGCTGAGAGTGATATGTTGAAGTCCCCAACTATTTTGAATTAGAGTCTGTCTCTCCCTTTATTTTATTTTTTTAGAGACAGAATCTCACTTTGTCACCAGGTGGGAATGCAGTGCCATGATCATGCCTCACTGCAGCCTTGAATTCCTGGGCTCAAGTGATTCTTCTGCCTCAGTCTTCCAAGTAGCTGGGACTACAGGTATGTGCCACCATGCATGGCTTAAAAATTTTTTGTTTCCAGAGATGGGGTCTCATTTGCTTCTTTGCCTTTTGGCTAAGATCAAATGTAGAGATGAAGTCTTGCTATATTGCCCAGGCTGGTCTTGAACACCTGGTCTTAAGTTATCCTCCTGCCTCAGACTCCCAAGTAGCTGAGATTATAGGCACAAGCCTTGATATCTGGCTACTGTCTCTCCCTTTGTAACTAATAATATTTGCTTGATATATGTCAGTGCTCCAGTGTTGGGTGCATATATATTAACAATTGTTATACCCTATTATTGAATTGATCCCTTTATCCTTATATAATGACCATTTTGTCTCTTTTTACTGCTTTCGACTTAAAGTCTGTTTCATCCAAGTATTGCTACTTCTGCTTGCTTCTGGTTTCTGTTTGTTTGGAATATCTTTTTCTATCCTTTCTCCTTCAGTGTATGTTTCTGGCTGTTTTTAAAGGGTTTTCTTTGTCTCTAAACAGTTTTACTTTGATGTGCCAAAAGTGTGGGTGTAGTTTTCTTGTGTTTATTCTACTTGGATGTCTTAGCATTTTCTGAAGATGTGGCTCAATGTTTTTTGTTTTTGGAAAATTTACAGTCAATAATCTCTTCAAATACTACTTTTGCTCTATTTTCTCTCTCTTCACTGTGTTCCAAATCTTTAATTTTGTTTTCTTTTTTTCTCCTTTTGTTTCAGTTTGTATGTTTCCTACTGATATTTTTTAGCTTTCTAATTCTTTCTCCAGCTGTGTCTACTCTTCTGTTAAGCCTATCTATCCAGTTCTTAATGTCAGTTATTGTGTTTTTCAGTTTAACATTTTCTATGTGATTCTTTTAAAAAACAGATTCAAGCTCTCTGTTGAAATTCTCAACTTGGAATTAATTTTCTTTAATGTATTAATGACATTTTAAAAAAATGTATCTGAGAACTCCTATACACAAGTCACCTAAAAGTCTATTTTTATTATTTAGTCTTTCTTTGGTTTTTGGTCACTTGGTCTTATCTCTTGTTAAGTCTTATAATTTTTTATTAAATGCTGGACATTGTAGATAAGAAATTATAGTACAGATTTGAGGCTCTAGATAATACTTTCTTCCTCCAGAGAGATTTTCTTTTATGTCAGGATCAAATCATCTTAATCTCATCTTGGATCAGGCTGGTTTAAATCTATGTTTCAGCTTTTGTAATGGCTGATTTATTTGTATATTCTAGAAATAAGATTAGGCCTTATTTTAAAACTAGAACTCATCAGAAGCCCCAATGGAAAGCTGGAGGTGCTTTCTAGATTCCTGTACTTATACCAGCCCGGAACTCTTTTTTTTTTTTTTTTTACCCTGAGTCCTAGGAGACTGCTGAAATCTCTGCTCAGCTTCTGGATCCTTCAGCTATTTGTGTGCAAATCTGCAAATTACTTCTGGAGAAAAACGCGGTCAGATGTCTGCTTCACATGAATGCTTTCATCTCTCTTCATGATTTTGGTTTTCATTTCCCTGTTAACTTTTCTTCATTTTCAAACCATATTTCCTAGTTGTTTTTGACAAGGAGGCTGGTCTGATACGAGTCAATCTACCATATCCAGAAGCAAAATTAAGAGTATGGACTTTGGAATCAAACTTCCAGGATTCAAATCTCAGTTCCATCATTTACTTGCACTGTGATCATGAGCAAACTATTAACTTTTCTGAGCCTCAGTTTTCAATCTCTAAAATGTGGATAATATAGTAGCTACCTTTTAGGGTTGTTGTGATAATTTAGAATGTGTGTGTGTAAACTTGGAAAAGTGCCCGGAACACTGAGATGCAAAAAATGCTATCTTGGTGTTTGCTATTATTATTTTTACTTGACCAAGTTTTTTTTGCCAATTATTTTCCATTGTATAATTTCAGTGATACATCCTTAATGGGCCTCCACTGGCTACTGGATGAAGTCCAAACTCTATATCTGCTGTTCTCAGCCCTGGTAGAATAACGGCGTAATCTGTGGTGCTTTTAAAACTCTTGAGACCCCAACCAAACTAGGCTAATTACATTAGAATTTTTTAGGTAGGATCTAGGTATCAGAATTTCTAAGAGATCCCCAGGTGATTTTGGTATTGAGCCAACACTGAAAACCTTTGGCTTTCAAGATCACTAACAGTCTAGCCCAACCTATCTTTCTAATGATAATTCTCCTGTATCCCAACATTGGGCATTTCCTTGTAGTGAGCCTATCTATTCAAGGTCCAGCCTTCCACATATATGATCTGATGGCTCATGCAAGGCTCAGAGGCTGATGGTTTATCTCTTCTCCCTCCCTTCCATGGAGGTATGGGTGGGGACACAGGCATGAGCCTCAGTCTCTGTCCCTTCCTTCTGGGCTTCATTTCCTTACCATAACTTGAATCTGTTTCATAGCAAAGTTTCCCATGTTTTCTTTTGTTTTCTTCTTCTTCCACTCCTTCCAGATCTTTTGCTAAAGACTTTTCACCTTTCTCTGTCCAAGACTAACACATCCTCCATTCCTCACTAGAAACACACTTTTCATCTAGTTTCCTAACATTATCAACTGACAGCATGGCATCGTAGCTAGTTTCCAATCATAAGGCTGGAGAAACCTGGCCTGTCCCCAGGAATCAACTTTGGACAACGTCATTCTCATTTCTACTTCTGTTTCTTTGGGCTACCTCATCGACCTAGAATATCTCTTTTCCTTCGCCTCTCTCTGCCAATTTGCAGTTTATTCCACCTTGAAGTTTCACTTCTTTTATTAAGCCAATTAAGCATCTCCAAAGCACACTGTTCTTCCACTTTTCCTGTGCTCCCACTTACCCTGTCTGTTCACAATTTTAGCTCCAAATTATATGTTCCAATGGAGGACCTTGAAACACAGTGGAAATTCAATACTTAATACTTCCTTGTTAGACCTACACAAAATTGTCAAAAAAAAAAAAAACCAAAAAAACCAAAAAAACAGCCTAAGCTGCAGATTCCTAACACTGATTTTCAGATCATTATCGTTGTCATTGCTATTTGCCCTAGAAGTGACGCGCATGTTGCTAAATGTCAGGGAGTTCTGAGAAGGTGCGTGGGTTGGTAGGAATAGGTTACGGAATTGCACTCACTTTCTACTGCTGCATAACAGATGACCACAACCACAGAGCTGAAAATGACACCGAATTATTATCTCACAGCTCTGTGGGTCAGAAGTCCAGGTGGCTTGTCTTTCTCTGCTCTGGATCTCACAAGGCCAAAATCAAGATGTTGGCCAGGCTGGGATCTTCTTGGAGGCTTTGGGGAAGAATCCACTTCCAACCTCATTCAGGTTGTTGGCAGATTCAGTTCCTGGTAACTGTGGGGCTGAGGTCCCCATCTTATTGCTGGCTAGGGGGTCACTCTCAGCCTATTGAGGCCACACTCAGATCCTTTCATGTGGCCCCCTTTAATCTCAGCAAAAGAGAATTCCCCATGCATCGAAGTCTTCTGACTTCTTTTTCTGCTACCAGCTGGAGAAAATTCTCTGCTTTTAACTTGCCTTATTGGATTAAGCCCAACCAGCTGATTTCTCTATCTTAAAGTCTACTGACTTGAGCCTTTAATTATACCTGAAAAATTCTGGCTGGGTGTGGTGGCTCACACCTGTAATCCCAGCACTTTGGGAGGCCAAGATGGGTGGATTGCTTGAGCCCAGCAGTTTGTGACCAGCCTGGGCAACGTGGTGAAATCCCATCTCTACAAAATACAAAAATTAGTCGGGCATGGTGGTATGTGTCTGTAGTCCCAGCTACTCAGGAGGCTGGCTTAAGGTAGGAGAATGATTTGAGCTAGGAAGCCGAGGTTGCAGTAAGCTGAGGTTGTGCTACTGCACAACCCAGGTTGTGCCTGGGCAACAGAGTGAGACCCTGTCTTAAAAAAATTCTCCACAGCAGTACCTAGATTAGTGTTGGTTGAATAACCAGGGTACAGGAGTCTTGGGGAACCATCTTTAGAATTTTGCCAACCACAGGACTGATGAAGCAGAAAGCCAGAGAACCAGCAAGGAAAGGACCACTTAGGTTCAGTGGACCAGTGCCTCACGGAGCAACAAGCACCCTTCAGGATCACCTAGTCCTGCCCTTTTATTCTCTGGATTGGAACATCAATACTTAGAGAGGGGAAGGGAATTTATAATAAATCTTCTACACATCCACCTTGGGCCAGATGTTGTACTAAATGCTTATGGAGAATATAGAGATAAATAAGACTCAGCATCTGTCCTTAGGATTTTATTACCCATGCATCCAAAGTCCATGGAAGTTTTTCTTAAGAAAATAGTTTATTTAATCCTTGGAAATTATAGAGTTGTGTGCTAGAAATGGACCTCACAGATCAAATGTTCCAGTGTTTCTTAAGAATAGAAACAGTGACTTTACGTGACATGTAGACCAACATTTTAAATTGTAATCATAATGTCTTAATGTTACCTTCTATTTATGGCAAATGATGCTATTTTCTCTGCATTACAATGACATAAAGTTTCCTTTTGCCCTCTTTTTTCCTTTTTTCAACTTGCATTTACGGATCACTTACTCTAGAAGACAACAGAAGATGGCACTGAAAGCTTTGGCTCTGGAAAAAGAGTTACCTGGATACTGATCCTGACATCTCTCACTTAAACTCTCCAAGTCTCACTTTCTCATCAGATAGGTAAGGAGAAATATATTATTTAAGTGATATCATGTGTGTAAAGTGCTTAACAGAGGTGACATTGTAAGGATCTAATAGATGTTAGCAATTATAAAATTAATGCTTTTCTGATCCAAGAGGAAGGGGGATTTCTGCTAAGGGGAGCTGGGCCTCGTTTCTCTGACTTCTCTGGGGAGTGGCAGCAGTTCTCAGGGCCCTCATCCCTCTCCTCCCATCTCCTGGGCCTTTTGAGAGCCTGGGAAGGTGCCTGAGATCTGGCACTTTCTGGAAAGAGAGGAAATGGATGCAGAAAGTAAAGAAAATATGGCCAAGCCTGATGGCTCATGCCCATAATCCCACTTTGGGAGGCTGAGGCTGAGGTTGGGAGTTTGAGACCAGCCTGACCAACATGGAGAAACCCCGTCTCTACTAAAAATACATCAATTAGCTGGGTGTGGTGGCGCATGCCTGTGATCCTAGCTACTTGGGAGGCTGAGGCAGGAGAATCGCTTTTACCTGGGAGGTGGAGGTTGCGATGAGCCAAGATCCTACCATTGCACTCCAGCCTTGGTGACAGAGCAAGACTCCTTCTAAAAAGAATGTAAAAACTAAAGGAAATAATGGAAGGTGTCACCATAGGGACATGCCTGTGGGAATTATCCATTTTTTGGAGAAGCAACAAACTCAGATTGGGCACCAGCAGACACCCACCTTTGGGTGCCCTCCTTTGAGAATCTTGCAGGGAACGAAGCAGCTGCATCTGTTCCCATTCTGTCTCTATCCTAAGCCTCCTCCCAAGTCACTCTCGCTCTTTGCCTCCTCTCTCTTTCAACAACTACCAGAGGAGTTGTTGAAATATCTCCTGTCTAAAAAATCTTCATGCTTTGTTTGGAGAAGGAAGGTGTTTCTCTCTTTTATAAGAAAAAGGACTACAGATGTCTGTCGGAGGAGGGAAAAGGGGGCTAGAGTCTGGCATTCAGATGGCCAGAGGCACCGGGTCACTTGGCAGTGGGTGAGAGGGGAGCTTCAGAAAGAAGATGGGAGAGCCTCCAAAACACTTATTAGCTCATAAAATGTCACCTGGGCTAACCTCTGAGTGTTTAGGAAACTGCTTAGTGTATGCCGCCAGTGGCAGACGTTCAAGGTGCTGTGCCACGCTGGTGGGGGAGATATTTTGTCAAGAGTTAAAGACAGAGCCCAATGATAGGTGCCTATTCTGCCAACACACAGGGTGGGTGTCTGCCAGCGAGAAGCCAAGCCACCTGTGCCTTGGCGATGCCCTCAGAGTGGCAGAACTCTTGGGGAAAGGAGATTGTGGGGCAAAGGCGAATGGTATGGTAGAAACCAGTTTTATACATCTTGATATTTTGATGCTATTTAAGTTATGAAGACATAGCCTATAGGTCTTCTGCCAGCCAACCATTGATTCATCATGGGAAATGGGTTGTGAGACTTTCTGGTTCAGAATGTTTTTCTGGGCCACCTCTCTGCTTAGACTAGGGAGTGAAAACAAGTGACATAGATTTAAAATAATAACAATCAACTGGGCACAGTGGCTCATGCCTGTAGTCCCAGCACTTTGGGAGGCAAGGCGGATGGATTGCTTGAGCCCAGGAGTTTGAGACTAGCTGGAGCCACATGGCAAAACCTCATCTCCGCAACAAATACAAACATTAGCTGTGTATGGTGGTGTGCACCTGTAGTTGCAGCTACGTAGGACACTGAGGTGGGAAGATTGCTTGAAAGGGGGTGGGAGGGTTGAGGCTGCAATGAGCTGTGATTACACCACTGCATTCCAGCCGGGCAATAGAGCGAGACCCTGTTTCAACGTAACAACAACAACAACAACAACAACAACAATAATAATAATAATAGTCATACACAGCGCAGTGAAACAAGACTTTTAACGCTACTGGTGGGAGTATAAATTTGTCTGATCTTTCTTGAGGCATTTGGGCAGTATCAAAAGTCTTAAAAATATTCATACACTTTATCCCAGCAATTCCACTTGTATGAATGTGTTCTAAGAAAATAGTTGGACAAGTTCACAAAGATCAGGATATAATGAAAACCATGATAGTTTTGTTCATAATCGTGAACAACTGAAAACAACCAAAATATCCAGCAATTAGAGATCGGATAATAAATGAAGGTAACTTCATAGAATACTACACATCTATTGAAAAGGACACTGCTGCTGTTTCATATATACATTGAAACAGAGTTTTGCTCTTGTTGCCCAGGCTGGAGTGCAATGGCACGATTTCAGCTCACTGCAACCTCCACCTCCCAGGTTCAAGCGATTCCCCTGCTTCAGCCTCCTGAGTAGCTGGGATTACAGGCATGCACCACCACACCCAGTTAATTTTTTTGTATTTTAAGTAGAGATGGGGTTTCTCCATGTTGGTTAGGCTGGTCTCGAACCCCTGATCTCAGGTGATCTGCCCGCCTCAGACTCCCAAAGTGCTGGGATTACAGGCATGAGCTGCCACACCCGGTCTCATATTTATTGATAGGGAAAGATGGTTGTAATATTTTACGTGAGAAGAGCAGGTTCCAGGACAGTATATTCATTATGATTCTATTTTTATAGATAAAAGTAGATAAATTCTTCTATTTCAGTAATTTTTTTTTCTCCCAGAACATTATTTCATTAAAGGTGACTTTTTGCTGAAACACTGCACCACGTGGACACCCAGTTTTACGCAGGTTACTGCTCCAGATTATAGTGCCATGTTGTGAAGGTTACAGGTAGAGTGTACACATTACTTTGCATAGTGTCTGATACATAGTAGTGCTTAGAGGTAGAAAAAGTAAGTATTGCTTTTGGAAACTCTCTTAAAGTTGTAAAGAGACTGTTCCTCTAGAACAGTTTGGTATTTTAATAGAATAGAAACTATGATATAAAAATTGGCAAAGTTTGGTATCCTGAATACATGTAGTTGATATGATCTCAACCTTGAAAAAATTGTACATGCACCCATAAGAAAAGTCTGTAAAAATATAAATAAAAATGTTAACAGTGTTTGAGTAATGCTGGATCACGAGTAACTTTTATTTTTTTGCTGTAACCCACCAGCCTCATGTGAATAGAACAGACAAGTCTTCATTTCTGTCCTTCTTTTCACTCAAAGTTTTTTAAAAAAGACTTTAATTACTGATATAAAGTAAAACAATTACTTGTGGGTTGGCTGAGAATTGCTAGAAATTAATAAATAGTTTGGAAATATTTAGTAAATTCTAATTACTTAGCAAAAGTAATTAAAATATTTATAAGTGAACACCCATAAACCACCACCAAGCAAATACATTACTCAATAAATGGTTTAATTAGTATTTCATTACTAGAAATTAATCTCAGTAACGAAACATTACTACAAATTACATGTAGGATAGACAACTTATTTTACTGCTATTAATGATTTCAATTACTAAGTTTGTGCAAGCCTAATTCCTTCCCACTTCCCCCACTCCCTCCTCCTGCTCCCACCCAGGCAAGTTCCCACACACTGGGTCTGAATTAGGATGTTTGGGGCTGATCTGGAACTGCATTGTTGGGAATCCCAGGCACACAGATTAACAATTTCCCTTGGCTTATTTCTTGGTTGTCTTGCTGAAATACAGGCCCTGGGTGCCTCTTAATCAGCTAGAATCAGACTCCAGGGGCTGGTGGGCTTCTTACTGCAGATATACTCTCCTCTGGAGTCTTCTAAATCACTTGGCTGCAAGGATCTATTCCTTCCCCTCTCCTGTGCCAAGGTCTTTCTGGCACTGGCTTGTATCCCTGGTCCACATGCCAGGCTGGGTGGGTGGGGGTGGGCTGGGCTACCACCAAGTCATCAGAGGGCATTATTATGCAGATGAGAAAAAGCAGTCTCTTCCTCCAGACACAGGCGGTCACACACCAGGGTGGATTTCAGCTTTCAATTGTTTTTTTTTGGTCAGGTTCACCAAGAAACAGATTCGAGATTTGCATGCAGGAGTCTTATTGGGGAACACTTTCAGGTAGTTCTCATGTAGGAACTGCCACTCCAGTCTGAGAGCAAGGACTGTGCAGAAGGAGAAGTTGAATGACTCCATGGAAAGCTCCGAAGCTGGGAAAATTCTTCCAGAATGTCTTGGATTGAGACAAGGGGTGGGGATTGTGATTTCAAATTGTTACCCATACAGTCATGGGTTCCATCACTTGGGTGACAGCCCGCTGACCACAACCAAGGAGGATTTAACAGGGGATTTCATTACTAGTAACAAGCAAAGTGCACACTGGGGATAGTTCCCAAAGCAGTGCCTCCCAGGGGTGGCCTGTGGGTGTGGTTTACTGCTGGCATAGCTTTGATGCATGAGTTGTTCCAGTGTTCTGCTGGCGCTGGGGCATGTGTCGTTTTTGGTGTTAGAGTGGACTCTTACTGGGTCTTCTGCCTAGACCATAAGCTCCAGGAGGGCAAGCTCATGTCTCATGGTATCCCCAGACCTTAGCCCAGTTCATGGCTCCATTAATATTTGCTGATTGAATGTATAAGACTAAAGACAAATGGTCACTTAAATACACTAATGTAAACTTGATACACTTGACAAAGGGAAACAGAATCTGATCTAATCTGAGGGGTCAGGGGAGGCTTCTCCAAAGAAGTGACACTTGATCTGAGACCCAAGGACTCGGTAAGAGTGAACCAGGCAAAATGAGGGGTGGCGGGTGCTTCCCAAGCCTCCCCTGGATAGGCGTTTGGCTCTGCCACCTCCTATGTGTGTCTCCTGGGAGGAAACAGAACTGAGAAGGCATGCTCACTGAATTTCTGTTATCTGTTGCTGAAATGTATCCTTTGTCCCTATCACAGCCTTATCTTGTACAAGATTCATGTGTCAGAGAGCTCATTTCCACCAGACCTCAGCCCAGGCTGCTGTGGGATGGAATTGCCTGCACCTGGATATGCTTGCTGGGCTGGGAAATACAGGCAAGGCATCATGGCTGGAGGTGGAGGGGGCCTAACCCGGGTTTGCCCAGGGAGGATTTTGCGTATGTA